GGAACAGATTTGCCTCCAGAAGCTGTGGAAGCTTCATCACTGGAAACTTTTAAGAGGAGACAGGACAGCCATCTGTCAGAAATGGTGTAGGGCAGTGTTTCCCTACACCATTGGGTTGCTGGCTGTGGAATTCTGGGAGTTGAAGTCCACATGCCTTAAAATTGTCAAGTTTGGGAAACACTGGTGTAGGGTCTTCTGCTTGGGTGGGAGGTTGGACTAGATGACCTACAAGGTCCCTTCCAACCCTGTTATTCTGATTCTGATATTTTAGGCTGTAACCGTTGCCCATAACATCCTGAAAAGGCTCCCTTACTTTCTGTATATCATTTGCATCTGCCACTGATTTGCAACTGAAACATTATTTAAAAAAAATAAAATAAGAAAATAAGCAGCATTCCAGTTAGAACTTAGCAGGGCATTAAATAATGTTGTGTAATCTTGCAACTAACATGAATCAGCTACATCAGAGGTCCCTAACCTTTTGGGCACCAGGGACCAGTTCCGTGGAGAAAGTTTTTTCCACAAACCGGAGGGTGCGTGATTTTGTGTGCTACTTACATCCCGCGGATGGGGCTTTGCTTGTTTGTGTGGACCAATTGCTGGCATGCTGCAGCCCAGTACTGGTTCACAGACCAGGGATTGGGGACCCCTGAGCTACATGATACTACCCCAAAATCTAGCTCTAGCTGGCTTTCATTGCAGGGAAAGGAACTAAAGTGAGAAGCCAGCATGTGACCTCAACTTGCAATTTTACTGCCAGCTTCTCCATGGACTTGGCCTGTTGGAAGCCGACTGTGACATGTACGGATGGTATAAACCAGTGTTTCTCAACCTTGACAATTTTAAGGCATGTGGACTTCAACTCCCAGAATTCCACAGCCAGCATTGCTGGCTGTGGAATTCTGGGAGTTGAAGTCCACATGCCTTAAAATTGTCAAGGTTGAGAAACACTGGTATAAACTAAAGTGACCCGGGACACTACAATAATGATAAACACCCATGGGTTGCAAAGTGCCCGAATCTTGATGCTGAAATGGCCGTAAATGTGGGAACTGGTTTTAATGTTATTGTTTGCAGCACCACTGTAACTTTAAACAGCCACTAAACCAGCGGTTCTCAGCCTATGTGTCACGACCCCATTTGGGGTCGATCGACCATTTCATGGGGGTCACCAAGCAAGGCTGTCCGCCATTTTTTCCCCTTTTCCGGCGGGTGCCTTACCTCCCTTGGGCTGGGCCAGCTGGTGGCCCAGCCAGTGGTTGGCCTGCTCCGTCTCTGCCGCTTGCCAGCTACGCCTCGGCCGGCGCAGGGGGCGGCACCACGCATGTGCAGTGCTCCCGGGCAGGGAAAGTCCTCGACTTACAACCGGTTGGGTAGTCCTCGACTTACGACCGGTTTAGTCCTCAACTTACGACTGGTTTAGTCCTCGACTTATGACCGGTTTAGTCCTTGACTTACGACCGGTTGGGGGTCGCGGTATTAAAAAGGTTGAGAACCACTGCGCTAAAGAAATCAATCATTACCGCAAGGACGACTTGCACACTTAAAAATCACTTAAATGTGTTCCAATTCTTGTCCCTTTATTCTGAATGAGGCATGTATAGGTAACCCTCAACTTACAGTGTCCATTCGAAGTTACACTGGCACCGAAAAAGTGGCTTATGATCGTTCACACTTATGATGGTCACGTGATCAAAATTCGGATGCTTGCCAACAGGTTCGTATTTATGACGGTTGTCATGTCCAGGATCACGTGGTCTCCTTTTGTGACCTTCTGACAAGCAAAATTAATGGGAAAGCTAGATTCACTATAACAACCACCTTTACTAACTTTAACAACTGCCTTCGTTCACGTGAAGTGTTAATACCACTTTACAATGCCTTGGTAAGGCCACACTAGGAATACTGCATCCAGTTTTGGTCACCATGATATAAAAAAGATGCTGAGAATCTAGAAAGAGTACAGAGAAGAGCAACAAAGACGATTAGGGGACTGGAGGCTAAAACATATAAGGAACGGTTGCTGGGATTGGGTATGTCTAGTTTAATGAAGAGAAGGATGACATGATAACCGTGTTCCAATATCTCAGGGGCTGCCACAAAGAAGAGGGAGTCAAGCTATTCTCCAAAGCGCCTGAAGGCAGGACAAGAAGCAACGGATGGAAACTAACCAAAGAGAGAAGCAACCTAGAACTAAGGAGAAACTTCCTGATGGTTAGAACAATTAACCAGTGGAACAACCTGCCTCCAGAAGCTGTGAATGCTCCAACAAAGGAAGTTTTTAAGAAGAGATTGGACAGCCATTTGTCCGAAATGGTGTAGGGTTTCCTGCCTGACCAGGGGGTTGGACTAGATGATCTCCCAGGTCCCTTCCAACTTTATTATTATTATTATTATTATTATTATTATTATTATTATTATTATTATTATTATTATTACTATTATTTAACAAATGTGGTGAGAAAGATTGTAAAATGGGGCAAAGCTCACAAGAAATGTCTCACTTAGCAACATAAATTGGGACTCAATTGTGGTCATAAGTCGAGGACCGCCTGTATCTGAAATGAAAATTAGTCAAACATACGGTCAACTATTTGACGTATAAAGATATGTTTCCCCTGGGAGCACAAAAATCAGCAAACAAGAAAGCAATTAAGCTAACCTAGGATAACTTCCCGTTCTGGCCTCAACTGAATGATTTCTATTATAGCCAACCTTGCAAAGAATGAATGCAGCCCTTTCTGATACCAGACCAATGAAGCCAGCTGTTTCCAACGTTGAAGCCTCTATGCTGAGCTTCTGAAAAATCAATTTTTGCCCCTCGCTGCTTTGTAATAAGCAAGCGAGATGAACTGGAAAAAGGAACGACAAAGAACTGATCACAAGAAACAACAACTAAATACAGAGGAATATTCAATAGAACTGCCACCTCTTCAAAGAGGGCCTTGCTCTCATCTCAGTTGTTCAAATATATAAAAGTATTCAAGTAAATATTTTTTTAAAAAAAATCACCCTTGGCATCAAAAATGGTATACCGGTAAAACGAAGAATCCGGAACAGTATCCTACAGCCATAGTCATTTTTTTTTTTTAACTTCAGTATGCAGATGATAAAAGTAAATAATATAAATTTGGCTAACAATAAACTTTTTATGCATATTTCAACATTAATTGCACATTTTCCTGATTGTTAGAATCATCTCAGCAACACTATCAAGTCATAAGCCTGTTCACTTGTTAGTAATTTCTAGTAAAGTTTCTTTCTCCTTAATTCTTCTGATCAGTTTGTACTGCTCCATATCAATCTACAGCAACACTTTAAAAGCTTATTTGTAAATCGTTCATTAGGATCAAAGATTTCTAGGGAGAAGGCCAGCAAAGGAGAATTTATTGATATAAGGATATAAAATAGTACAACACTAACGTCTGTATGTAAAAACATCTGTATTTTAGCTAAACTACACCACTATTGCACTGCTGGAGTGCAAATATTGTCTTTCTGTGATGGTGCCCAAACTTTTTTTAAACATAAGATCAGTCCTACAAAACTCTGGAGACGTAAATGCGTTATCTATTTTCACAGGATTGTTCCTATCCAAATTACTGTTTTCTCATCAAAAAATGCTAACATAGTAGTTTAGAAACCCTGAACAATCCAGAATCAAATTTGCTTTTTTAACATCCACACATTTTCTGCATAACTTTGGAGTCATGGAAATAAATCAGACAAGAGACTGTTTTAGGAATCAAAATGTATACAGCTCCAATGGGGCCCCTTGAAGCCTCCTGCTTTTGGCCAGGAGATTCAAATGCTTCACACTGACCACCAAAATCAAACTTCAGCTTTTCAGAACACATTTTTAAGCGGGTTGCCCAGCATATTGACACATCTGTGATAATACTTCAACCAACCCTTATTTGTGTTAACAGAGGCATAAATCACGCTCAGCTTAATAAGACCTTAAATGCACTGCATGCACAAATTTGCAGCTGCAGCCTGAGATGGGAAATGGGCCATCTGAAATGTGAACGACACATAAACAAAAATAGAGAGAATCACAAGAGCAGGAAACTGTTTCCCCCTGTGAACTTACGCTAGCCATCACCAGCAAAACATTTACAGGTTTTCCCAGTCCTATTCTGGCAGTGATCCTTGTTTAACAACTGCTTGCTCGGTCACTATTCAAATATACAATGTCACTGAAGTAGCGGTTTGACTGGACTTCTATTTTTGGCCCTTGCAGCACACCCAAGTGATCACAATTTTGTCACCTACTCTGCTGGATTCCCTCAATCAAAACCCGTGGGAAGCCAGCGGGAAGTCGGAAGACATGGTTATATGAGTTCTTCGCTTAATAACTCACGTGGTCCTCGCTTAATGACAGCAACCAGGATTGCCAAGAACTGTTGTCACTAAGTCAGTGGTTCTCAACCTTTCTAATGCCGCGACCCCATAATACAGTTCCCCATGTTGTGGTGACCCCCAACCACTTATACATCACTTGGTGCCAGGGGCGTGGCCAAAGAAAAGGGGAAAAAAATGGCGGACAGCCTTGTTTGGCGACCCCCGTGAAATGGTAGTTCGACCCCAAATGGGGTCCCGACCCACAGGTTGAGAACCACTGCACTAAGTGGTGTGGGCCTATGATTTTTTTTTCCCATTTACAACCGTGTCACTTAAAGACAGAGCTTCCGATTAGTGCTGTTAAACAAGAACTGCCAGTACTGAAAACTAGCTAACTAATATTCTGCAGATGGCACGCTTACGAAGAATTACGAAAACTCACAGCCAGAGCAAAAATTTAGCTAAAGCTAAATTTCAGAAGGAATCTATGTAGATTGATGTGTGTCTGGTTCCCTCCATTGGGGTTTGGGAAGCTTCTTTGAGAACATTTTTGATTTTATTGCTAGGTCCTGGTGTCTACTTCTAGCATACATCACTTTCCATCTTTCTTTCAAACATCACACCAGAGAAGAAAGAGATAAAATATTCTCACTTACAGAATGTTGAATAGGCATCCATCCAGGCGATTCGACTGAACATTTGTGAGCAGGACATCTCGTGTGACTCTGCTGCAAGCAATTGAAAAAAAAAAAAAAAAGAGAGAGGTATGTGTAAAATTATCTGCACACTGTAAGGTCTTCCTCGACTTACAATCATTCGTTGAACGACTGTTCAAAGTTACAATGGCACTGAAAAAAATGACTTATGACTGTTTTTCAGACTTACAACCATTGCAGCGTCCCCCCCCCAGTCACGTGATCAAAATTCAGATGCTTGGCAACTGATTCATATTTATGAGGGTTGCAGTGTGCCAGAATCGTGCGATCAACCTTTTGCGACCTTCTGACAAGTAAAATCAGTGGGGAAGCCAGATTCATTTTGCTAACTTAACAAGTGCAGTGGTGCTAACTTAACAACTGCAGTGATTCACTTAACAATTGTGGCAAGAAAGATTGCAAAATTAACGAAATTAACACTGAACAACTGTCTCGCTTAGCAATAGAAATTTTGGCCACACTGTGGCGCTTTGCCACAGTGAACTGTTGTGGTTGTCCCATTAGTAACACGGTTGTTAAGTGAATCTGGCTTCCCTATTGAGTTTGCTTGTCAGCAGGTCGCAAAAGGTGATCACAGGACCCCGGGAAACACTGCAACCGTCATAAATATGAACCAGCGTTACCAACACGAGTCATTTGGTACCGTCCATAACACGGCCATCTCGCCATTAATTCTAACTCCAGATCATTTATCAGCAAATTAAAATGCACTGACCCTGCTATGTGTATCTCATCACTTTTCAGAATTACCCATTTGTTTGTACTCTCTATTTTCTATTTTTTAGCCCATTTCCTATACTTGAGAGTGTCCATCCCCTTATCTCACAGCAGCTGAGTTGCCCAAAGGCCCTTGGTGAGAGATTTCATCAAAGACTTTTCAAAGTCTGCATGCATATAATTACTTATTGGATCGTTTTTTGCTCAAAGAAGAATCCCAGATGTTAACACACAAGAGCCTCCATGTGGCCTTTCCCAAATTCAGCCCAGAAATTATATCACCATCTTTTCTATTAAGGTTGCTGCTATAGTAATTAAATGCCAGAAAGTTTTGCCAAGCTACTGACATTACAGGTGTTCCTCGACTTACGACCGCAATTGGGCCCGGAATTTCTGTTGCTAAGCGAGAAAGTTATTAAGGGAATTTCACCCCATTTTACAACCTTCCTTGCCACAGATCTTAGGTCAGGGGTGTCAAACTCAATTTCGTTGAGGGCCGCATCAACATTGCGGTTGCCCTCGGGGGGGGGCGGGTGGGTGTGGCCAGGGTGAGTGCGGCCTACTGGGTGGGCATGGACAGAGTGGGTGTGGCCTACTGGGTGGGCGTGGCCAGCTCTACATCGTTCGTGTCAAGGGTGCCTGTGGGGGCCTGGGCAGGAGTGGGACAGATCTGAGGGTCTCTGGCAGAAGGAGGTGGGACCAGGACAAGTGCCATGGTCCACTAGAGGAGCCTCACTGTTCCTCTCAGGCCACGCATGGGAGGCTGGATGGTGGTGCAGGCTGCCCAGAGCCCTGGTAAGCAGAGATCAAACGCCCAGCCTGGCCGTCGAGCACCTGTGGCACCAAGCTGTTTCCAGACGGCCTTGTGGAGCTAAGACTGAATGTGTTTCAGCATAGATGGCCACCACAAAATTGTACATTGGCTCCCGGCCGGCCTAGGCCAGGGCCAAGGCAGAGGGGGCCGTTCCCTCACTGTTTCCAGGATGGCTTCGCGGGCCACATGAAACCACTTCGCGGGCCGCATCCGACCCCCGGGCCTTGTGTTGGACATGTCTGTCTTGTGAATCACTGCAGTTGTTGAGTTAATAACACAGCTCTTATGGTAAGTGGCTTCCCCATTGCTCGTCAGAAGGTCGCCGAAGGGGATCACCCAGACATTGCAGCCGTCATAAATATGAGTCAGTTGCCAAGGGTCTGAATTTGGATTACATGACCACGGGGATGCTGCAGTGGTCGTAAGTGTGAAAAACGGTCATAAGTCACTTTTTCAGTGCCGTTGTAATTTCAAACGGTCACTAAATGAACTGTTGTAAATTGAGGGCTACCTGTACTCCTGGATTCTCCTTTTCAATATAAGACACATAGGTCCACAGCCACTCTCTAGCACAGGGGTAGTCAACCTTGGCTCTTTTATGACTCGTGGACTTCAACTCCCAGAATTCCTGAGCCAACCATGCTGAGGGGAAAGGGAGAGGTTTCCAAGCTGAGCCATGCTGGCTCAAGAATTCTGGGAGTTGAAGTCCAGAAGTCATGAAGGGAGCCATAGTTCTCCCATGCTGGCTGAGGATTTCTGGGAGTTGAAGTCCGCAAGTCATGAAAGGGCCACAGTTCCCCCATGCTGGCTCAGGAATTCTGGGAGTTGAAGTCCACGAGTCATGAAGGGGCCTTAGTTCCTCCATGCTGGCTCAGGAATTCTGGGAGTTGAAGTCCACGAGTCATAAAAGAGCCAAGGTTGACTACCCCTGCTCTAGCATAACAAAATATAATGAGAGAAGAGGGAAATTATGGTCTCCGTTTGAACTTTTATTCTATGTTATGCCTGCAGTTTATTAGCGTGAGATCAGTTAGAATCTAAAAGAATGAAACATAATTTAACATCCAGCTTCCTGTAGTTAGAACACACTTCTTCTCTACAAAGGACAACATGAACATTTTCCTTGCTGTTCATTGCAACTTAATTTTATTTCTCCAAAGACAACGTGCCGGCTGAAATTAATAAAAATCAAGGGCAATTCTGTAATTGAATTGTATCAGCTCACGATGATTTAACTCTGTTTTCTAATTACGCCATAAACCATCCTGTGTGATCAAAGAGATAGAAAATTAATATTCCACACAGAGGCTGATATCCAACTTCTGGTGTTTAGCAAGAAGATATTCAATCAAAGATGGAGGGCGAATAATAGATTTGAATTTATCGCGAGATCCCAAGAGGATTATCTTTAGCTCCTCGCTCTCAATTAGCAGCAATGTTAATTACATGTCAGCAAGTCCAATTCAACCTCTAATGACACAGGCTCCCCATTGTATTGCTTCCTAAATTATATTGTTGAGATAAAGAGCGCATAGTAGTAAACAGAGAGGACTTTTATGGAGAATTTGAAATGTGTCCTTCACAGTGATTCCAGTTCACCGATCTTGGCATTATAATTCTCTACTTTCCCATCTTGAAATACGACCTTTCTCATACAGAAGGATACCAAATGCTCTTCAATTTGAATTCAATTTAAATATTTAAAATAATTTTAATTTTTTAGTTTTAGTTCGGTCCTTCACATTGCATAATAATAATAATAGTAGTAAAGTTGGAAGGGAACTTGGAGGTCATCTAGTCCAACCCCCTGCTCGGGCAGGAAACCCTACACCATTTCGGACAAGTGGCTGTCCAGTCTCTTCTTAAAAACTTCCAGTGTTGGAGCATTTATTGCTTCTGGAGGCAAGCTGTTCCACTGATTAATTGTTCTCACTGTCAGGAAGTTTCTCCTTAGTTCTAGGTTGCTTCTCTCCTTGATTAGTTTCCACCCGTTGCTTCTTGTCCTGCCTTCAGGGGCTTTGGAAAATAGCTTGACTCCCTCTTCTTTATGGCAGCCCCTGAGATATTGGAATACTGCTATCATGTCCCCCCTTGTCCTTCTCTTCGTTAAACTAGACATACCCAATTCTAGCAACCGTTCATTTCTGTCCTTCCTTTTGCGTAACTTGTTTAATGATTCTATTCCACCATTTCTTCGATATTAAGGTAACGCTTATGCCACGGCAAGTTGTCCCACAGTGAGTTAGTTGGGGCAATTTGGCTCTGGCGAATTGGTCACAGCAAGCTGTCCGCGGAGAGTTGTCCATTTAGAGCTATGATAGAAAACTGTGTATCATGCTCTTAAATATATATATATATTAAGCATGAAACTGAAATCTGCAAAATCCTACAGGCAACAGAGCGCCAAGAGGCATTTTCCCCATGACACTACTTAATTCTGCACTTTACAGGAAAATCCTCCCTCTCGCTCAAGCCTATTTCTACAATTTGCCAGCCCCGATTCATAATCACATTATAGCTTCGATGGTACAGCTATTCTGTAACTCAGTATATAGATTGCTGTAGTGATCTTAAATATAATACTGGTTATGTGCTTATCCAATGTTTCCATTACCATATCCTTCTCCTGTGAAATAGGTTTGCCGAAGAAATTACTCAGCTCGGTTCACAACGATTTAAACTCATAGTTATTTCCTTAAATTGGCCATCCCTAATCTGGATATCATCCAAGTGTGTGTGGACTTCAGTTCCCAGATATCCTTAAGCCAGCCCTGACATGGTGAAGAATTATGGGATGTGAAGTCCAGACAACTGGAGGTTGGGGAAAGTTGTATCTTAGCATAGAATAGAATAACAGAGTTGGAAGGGACCTTGTAGGTCATCTAGTCCAACCCACTCGCCCAAGCAGGAGACCCTACACCAGGGGGTCTTCAAACTTGGCCCTTTTATGACTTCTGGACATCAACTCCCAGAATTCCTCAGCCAGGCACGCTGGCTGAGGAATTCTGGGATTTGAAGTCCACAAGTCATTACAGGGCCAGGTTTGAAGACCCCTGCCCTACACCATTTCTGACAGATGGCAGTCCAGTCTCTTCTTGAAAGCTTCCAGTGATGAAGCACCAACAACATCTGAAGGCAGTCTCTTCCATTGGTTGATTGTTCTCGCTGTCAGAAAATTTATCCTTATTTCCAGGTTGAATCTCTCCTTGATCAGTTTCTATCCGTTATTTCTTGTCTGGCCTTCAGGTGCTTTGGAAAATAGATTGACCCCCTCCTCTCTGTGACAGCCCCTCAAATATTGGAACCCTGCTATGATGTCTCCCCTGGTCCTTCTCTTCACCAGACTAGCCATGCCCAGTTCCTGTAACTGTCCTCCATATGTTTTAGCCTCAAGTCCCCTAATCATCTTTGTGGCTCTTCTCTGCACTTTTTCTAGAGTCTCAATATCTTTTTTATAGTGTGGAGACCATAATTGGTTGCA